TTGAACTGCTGATTGTCTTGCTGACATCCTTCAGCTTAACGCTGTTTCGAATTCGGAATACCTATCAGCTCGATCATGCGCGTTCGATTCCGTTCTTCTTGCACAGCGCCGAACCGACTCTCATCCTAGCTGATCAGGTCTTCCGAAATTCGCGATCGGGAGATGGTGTAGTATTGAATTTTCCATCGGCTAAGTAAGATCCTTGTATACCAATTTGTGAATCCCCAATAGTATTTGAAAATTATTACATCTCTAGATGAAAGCGGAAGCGTGGCGCTGCCAGAAGAGGGATGTGGACGGAAGGTAGGTTATCCTTTCCCTCTGTAGAAAAAAGGAAGAGAAGAGCTCAGATGAAGGCCCTGCAGGCATGGTTGAAGAACGTAGTTGGCCTCATTTTCAAGTTGACACTTACTGTAGTTCATTCCGCTGCAGACGTTGGGGCGTGCCAGGGGAAGGGGGATTCACCTACACATGTCTGTGACAGCAGCATATGTAATTCAAAAGGAATCAGAGAGCGATTGACATTTTTTTGCCTGACGGGGTGATTGCATCTTTTCTAGAATTCTTGTCTTGAGTCCGCTCATTAACTCTTTTTAGAGACCTCTCTACAGCGTGCAACGACTTCTACAGCTATGCGTGCGCATCTGCGAAACCGAATAACCCACGGGAGCACGCTTTGGAGGAGTTCAATCAGATGCTGGACGAAGAAGTGAAACTTCTTCCTGCAAATTTGAATCAAATGTTTGTGCGTGCTTCTTGTTCGTAGAATGCGTTCGTGAGAAAGCGACTGAGCAAGAATTGCAGGCCAATCTCGAGACGACATTGCCGACGATAGACGAGGAGTCGTTCCGCTCCCAGCTGGCGAAAAGGTACGGTCTCTCCTTACTTGTACCTGCGGAGCTGTATTGTTATGCTGACTTTAGTGCAGGTGTGAAAATGTGACGTTCGTCGAAGACTACTTCCGAGCCGCGATTGAGGAGATTGGAGAGGCTTCCTCTATCGGGCAATCAAGTTGCTCTGAGATGGTGAACACCATCGCTGAAATTGTGCTAGACGATCACAGAGAGGTGATTCTAAAAAATCCAAGAACTCCTTGTATAAATCTTAATCGGGGAGTCTCATTTGCTACAGATGAAAGGACATGCCAGGCGAGATGGGTTTGGAGCGGAGCCAAACCCGTTTTCCAGCAGTTGTTGAAGCGAGCAGCGGCAGGGTTGAATAATATAGTCGTGCCATCGTTCCCCACCAACTGTGGTCTCTTACCCGCTCCAGCGGCCGGTCGAGAGCGGGTAAGAGACCACAACTGGTGAAGGTTTGATGCTGCGCCGAACGCATCCCCGCCTGACACACCCTTCATCTCCATCGAACAAGACTGGCAACTCAAATGTTCTTCAGGTGCTAATTTATTCATCATTTTTTCTTCCTGTGATTTCCTGCTTGCGAATGCCGAAACTTTAGAAACGAGCAGTATTTCAGCATCTCTATGAAAACAACGGTCCACGCGTTTTCGAGCCTGATTTATTTGGAAAAAATTATATTTTGTCTCTTACCTTAGAGGCGTCAGACTTCGCGATCGCGCGATCCGGATCGCGCGATCGCTGTGATCGCGCGATCCTTGCACTACTGTGGGTGAAATTCACACCGGGAGGGAAGGGTCATGTTTTTTCATGTTTTTTGTTACTGTTCACTTTTCCTGTTTATTATTTCTTTTCCTTCTTTCTTCCTTCGTGTTCATAAGGCCTTTTTATGTTAAGGAACGTTTCAAAATAACTTTGATTTGTTTCTTTGTATTCCCTCTCAAATTTTTTTTTCAGATTCGGTTTCTGCAATGTAATGTTGGCTCGGCGAATCGCCTGATAGGGGTGAGTTTTTCTTCTTTCTTTTGTTGCTATAGTTTTTTGATGTTCTATTTTCTCTTTCATGTTCTTTTGTATGGCCCTTTTTCACTATTTCGGCAATTCCCCGTGGGGTGTGTCATTAGGTCCGCTCTGGGGCACTACGTCCCACTCTGTTATTATGTTCGCCGCCACACCCTCTTTCATATCCTACAAGCCCCCCCCTGGCTCCGCCTACTTCTCTTTAAAATTTCATTTCTTCCCCAAAATTTTTCTACGACATCTCCGGCCCACCCCGAGCATTCTGGCAGGGTGTGTCATTAGGTCCGCGCGGGGCACTACGTCTCTTCATGGGGCATTACGTCTCTCTGTGTCCGCCGCCACGCCCCCTTCCACAGCGTGGCGGCGGACACAGAGAGACGTAATGCCCCATGAAGAGACGTAGTGCCCCGCGCGGACCTAATGACACACCCCACGGGGAATTGCCGAAATAGTGAAAAAGGGCCATACAAAAGAACATGAAAGAGAAAATAGAACATCAAAAAACTATAGCAACAAAAGAAAGAAGAAAAACTCACCCCTACAGCGCCAACATTACATTGCAGAATCCGAATCTGAAAAAAAAATTGAGAGGGAATACAAAGAAACACAAATCAAAGTTATTTCGAAACGTTTCCTTAACATAAAAAGGCCTTATGAACACGAAGGAAGAAAGAAGGAAAAGAAAAAATGAACAGGAAAAGTGAACAGGAACAAAAAACATGAAAAAACATGACCCTTCCCTCCCGTGTGAATTTCACCCACAGTAGTGCAAGGATCGCGCGATCACAGGCGATCGCAGCGATCCGGATATGCGCAGATCGCGAAGTCTGAACGAGCTCTTACGATTGGCTCTTAGCCAGAGAGATGCTTCTCATGCATACATCCCGTTTGTCTAGAAAACCTCGGTGCGAATATTCCTGCGGATACAGAAAACCCCTTCATTTGGCAAAATCCACTAGTATCGAGGAGTCGTGCCCGTCTCAGCTCAGAACTTAGTTCTCCTCGGTTTCAAAATGACACTTGCTCTAGTCGTTTTCGCGGCAGATGTTGGGGCGTGGGGGAGGGGTTAGCGCGGTGCCAGCCTGTCTTCCACCGATTGCGGTCGCCAGAAATGACAGACAGAACCGGTTTGACAGAAATTCGCTGCGTTGGGGAAAAATTTCTTGATTTTTCGCGTACTTTTTCCTGTTTCATGCGTACCATAACTCCGCTCGACAGCAAATTTTTGGAGAATATTACTGAAATTTTTAGGGAATTTGAGAAAAGTGGTAAGAAAATGGGGAAAACCTGCGAAACTTTCTCGCTTGGCATTGGCTATATACCCACCTCCCCGTACTGGTACCACCATTTCACACATCACGATGCTGTACCCTGTCCCCATCTAGTGGGAAATGGATGATGTCGCGCCAAGCCTAGCCCCCTCATCCCGACTCGCGCCCAGCAAACGCAGCGGAAACGACTATACCTGATTTTTTTGTTTTCGGAAATTGGAGCAAACTCGAAAAATTTTCCTTCGCCTCTCTACCCAGAGGTACGAATGTTCACTTTGTTTGTTTCAGTCAATAGAGCAATTGGTGGATGTTATCAAAAAAGTCCGAGACGTCGTCGCCTTCGAGAATATTAGAAAGAAGAATCCTCGCATTAACGAAGCGTTCCAGCGTACGAGAGAGTTTTTTGAGACAATACGGCAGGAATATTTGGACTTCATCAACGTAAGTACATGTTATGATAAAAAGTTGCAATTCTGAGGTGTTCCAACATGATCGGGGTCTCAGGAGGCTCTCGCTTTTTCCTCATACAGTCAGAGGACAGTTCCTTTGCTTTTGATAGGAAACTGTTATCTTTTATAGTAGTCTTTGAAATGAGTAGTAATGTTCAAGAGTACAACTTCCGACAATCCGGAACACCTGGCGATGTGGTACACACGAGCAGCTCGAGTTGAGTTAGAAATGCCAATGAGAACCCACAAGTTTTTCGTTGCTGAGCACCTCTACTTCGTTGCCAGAGACTATCTTAACTGCACAGAGAACTGGTGGGTGACCAGCTGCATCGTGAATCGTCTTCAGTTATTACTCACTCTTCTTCTTTTTTAGGATAATGGGTATCGATAACCGCGAGAAGGCGTTCTGCCTAGCTCGTGCATGGGGAGTTGCAACAGGTGCAATACCAATGCCAACCAGGTTGGCTCAGTTCCTTCATGATCTCCGAAGTCTCAACGTGAGCGTCGTGAATGACCGGGTTTACGTTAGACCCGCCTACGCTCTCTTTCTTCTGAATACCACAAACGATGCTTTGCTGGTCAGTTCCCTTTCGAAATCACATGGCAAGTAAGGAAGTAAAAGTACAGTTATTGTGAAGTAGTAAGCAACAGTAGTGAGTATCTGAGGATAGTAATGCTTTCAGGGTAAGGCAGCTTTTTTGCTTTTAGATTTACGCATCTTGGTTCTAAACATAATAACAAACTAATGCCATTTAGATGATGATAATGGATATTTGTGGCAATAATGTCAGTCTTATATTTAAGAGAATCCTCATCCCAATAAATCAGATCCCCGAGCTAAAGAGATTGGAAAGGCTTGAATGGATGTGGGCGAAAGTCGTATGAGGTTGTATGGGACATCGTTGAGCAGAAATCGATTCCGGTTTGCACCATGCCTAGCTGCACTTTCCTGAATTCAGCCAACTTCTACCACTTTCCAGAGTTTTTTGCACCTCCAGTTATTCTCGCAAACACTACAGTCGAGCAGCAGGTGGAGGAAGCTTTCACAGCGCACACGAATAACGCTCTTGTACAGGAAGGAAAGCCAAGAAAAGCCTGCAAAATGACTATACAAGGTAATCTGATTGCAGCTGTTATTGTGGCGAGATGCCTAGCAAGATAAGAACTGGTATCAAGCGAAAGCAAGAAGAACTAAAATAAAGGGTAAAAGCCCGATATGTGCTCTGAGATATCCCTATCTTTTGGGCAGTAATGTGAAGCGCGTTGAGGGTTGAGCATGACGCACAGAGAATACTCGAGAGCAAGTTTTAGAAGTTGCTTTTGGAATCGCGATTTGTCATTCAGGAGGGCAGTTCAGTGGCGACAAATGCCAAGCAAAGGACGTGAGATGAGAACAAAGCATTTTTATTTGCATAATTCATTAGATGATAATAGCGACGACAGCACGACACTATGAAGGCACGGTCATGCGATCAGGTATAAAAGACAAGTTGAGAATATGGGCAGGCAGGTAGTGTGGTCCCGCGGGAGGCCAACGCTTGGTAGCGCGGTTTTGCGCGGCAAAACAGTTTAAGGGGGAGGCGCTATTGGCGCGATATAGGTTTCAGTGGTTTCTCCTTCTCTCCAGTGATCCGCCCAGATCCCACTAGGAAGGCCGCCTTTCATGAAAACGAAGCTGCTAAGAAAAGCATGAGAAATAGTCTTGTAAGGTGTGAGTACCTTTATGGGGACACTCAATTTGTGCAGAAGAGGGCGTAGTGTGGGAGATGGTGTTCATTGGGCGCGCACAAACTGTGATCGAAATAGGGTTATATCTAGGGCAGTTGGCATGCTTTTCCCTGCTTTTTTCTTCACTATCCGAGTTTGCCACAGCAGGCTTCGTCCTGCCATATACGAGCCAGCCTTCGCTATATGTGGTGGGCGAATGCTTGCGGGCTTTCGGTTTTAAATGAAATGCAAGAAAATCTCATAGCCTTGCATTCTGAAATGTACAGCTTCATTATTATACAAGGCGGATGCTTAGGCATAGACTAGCCCTAACTATCAAGTAGATGCGGGTAGCGCACCAGACTAGTAGAACCTGAATGTTCAAGTTATGGCGAGCGCACAAATTTCCGCACCAATATTCGGTAAAACTCTTTTGTATAAGTTTGTTGGTACTGTTAGGTGGAAGCTTTGCGAGAGACCTAGAAATGGCTCTATCCCCTGTGAAATGTTGTATTCTGGTATGGAAGTTTACGAGAGACGTAGTTCAGAAAGGCTTTACGGTAAAACAGTGACAGCGTGTTTTTGAGGTCTGACAGATTGACGCTGGCTGAAGAAAGGCAATGCAGTAGATTGCCCTTTCGGGATAAGAATTAAATAGTTTCTTTCTTGCTCTTTCATGTCAACTCTCTTATTTTGCATCAAAGAGAGGAAGGTCGCTATTGACAGCTACAGAGAAGAACGACTTTCAAAGGGAAGGGGAGTACGGGCAATTTTTTTTTAACATGATGTTGACCGCTGCCCGTCAAACCGACGGTTTTTCGTGCCTTTTAAAGAAAAAAAAGGCGCGCTGTTGCAGCTGGTGGGCTATCTCATCCATCTGCATTAATGTGGAAAGAGGTCGGTCCAAAGATGAGGTACCTATTGGTATACAAAGGAAAGGGAATGATAAATGCGCCTAGGACACGTAAGATTGAGCACGCCAATCACTCACCAAAGAATTCGGCTCCTGAGAAGGAGCTTACATATAGTTTTCAGATGAAGGCGGTCTATGAGGCATCCTAACAAAGCGTTAATATACCACATCGCTCTTTCTCAACAACGCCAAGAAATCGGCAGACTTGATCAGGCAGTGAAGTAAGGCATACGGATCAGTTGTTTTCGACTGTGCCACAATAGCCGTAAATGTCAGTGTCGGTTTTCCCTTCTTCAAGGCTCCTTCTGAAGAGTCTTAGTTCTTAGTGGTGAATTGGAACATCTTTCTTTAGCAGAGTGCGAAATTATTTGCAGGCGGTGCCCGTTGTGCAGTTTCAGACTTGTTTTACTTGTTTGGCTTTTTCACTTTCTTCGCGAATGTTTGACAGCAGCTTCGCGAAGATGCCTATTAGTGTGTCCCGCTGCTTGAAATAATGTTTCCATACTTTCTGTGCAGTCGCACTGATTTTTTCACATTGATCTTTGACCGCCACTCATTTATCTCATGGTCAGGGGTAGGTTGGTTCACTAACTGATGAGGGAGGTTAATAAGAGCTTCATTTTGGGCCTTTTTGGACGTTTCATCCCGTTTTTGCCTTACTGTTGTACTACAGAGCGCCTACACTCCCTTTTGTGTAAAAGATAAAATTATCTGGGCCACTGCCTCAAAGGAATTCAGAAGATCGTGCGGCAAGGGCGTATTTTGTGACGATTCCAAGCCTCGTAAGACGAGATTTTGTACTCATCGGCATGTTATGAGACAGCACAGTCATGCATTGGGGCAGTATGAGGTACGTAGGTAACATATAGCTTTGACACCAGCCCGCGGGGATCTCTGTTGGACTGCCGCTCACCTTGGTTTCAAAATTCGAGCAGCGCTGAGAATTGTTTTTTATACGACAATATAAAAAAGGAACAGATTTCTAGCGATACACTGAAACATAGCTCTTGTCCTCACATACATATTCCTCTTTTTTCTAGATAAGAGAATTCGTGAAAAACTATCGGGATGTCACTGTCTTCACGCTCTCTGTCCTCAAGTCGAGCGAGGCCCAGGAAGCACTCTCAAAATCAACACTCAATGTGACATCAAGAGCTAGCGCAGAACTAAAGGATGAATATGTGCGTGTGTACTTGTCCAAGGTATTCGGAGAAATCTCAATTCCGGCAAATGCAATTTACAGGCCAAATGTCATACCATAGAAAGCGACTTGATGTACAACACTGTGGCTTTACGAGTGGTGTTTCCTGCACTGGAAAAACTCCAGGTGTTGCTTTGTTTTGTCAGCGCTTTCGGTCATTTGCTTTTTGCAAAGCTTTCTCGTTTGGAAATGTTGTGCGACCCATGACTACTGCTTTTACATATTGCTTGTCGATTACTTTTTGTTTCGGTCTAGAAGGATAACAGAGAAAAACGGACATTCTACACGCGGAGTTCACTCTTGGATTGCTCCGACAAGGCAATTTTTTCTGTTATGCATTCCATATTGTTGACATTGTCTTTCAGGAAAGCTCTTTCAGAACCCTTTGACGATCTCTCAAATTAATACGGCATTCTCACAAAGCACTCATTTCCAGCGTGTATTTGGTTGTAAAGGCACAGATTCGATGGCATTATCAAAGGTGAGTCGAAGTAATGAGTGTATTTTTATCGCTGCATCATTTTACATCCGTGCAACATATCTTTTGCCATACGTGCTGTCACAGCGATAATTAAAACCCTTCAATGAACCGCCTTTGCACTGCCCCACTATTATAACCTCAGTTTTTCCCGCTGGAACTTCTTCCCTATTAGTTGTTCTACGTCCAACAACCAATGTTATATTCATTTTTCTGGCCATTAGACGTCTCATGGGTGGATCAGTCTGTCATACAATCCGTTAAAACTCGCTTACGGGGTTTACTTGGTGAGCTCTCGCTGACTACGAATACGCTGTGAATACTGCATCTATTTTTATTCTTACCTTACATTCAAAATCAGTTGATAGAGGTCTAAAGACGGCAACAGAGGATCTGTTAACGCAAAGCGGTCAACTTGTTCAGCATGGTTAGCTGTAACTTTGTCCCCCTTTGAGCTTGAACAAGCCTCTTATGGATTTCCGTTGTACTTTCTCCACAAAAGCTCGCATAAGTACACGTAACGGGAGTTTCTCGTTCCGTAACCCCGTTGCTCACGTCCTTGCCAGAGCGACTCAATGTTATGAGTATGAGCGTCGGTTTTTCTTTTGGGGGGGGGGGGAGAGAGGTACATAGAGTTCAGCTGGTAGGCCGAGTTGACAAACCCTCTGCTGAGTGTCAAACGTTTTACACTCTGCTGCCGATAGCAATCTGATATGATTTCCGATGAGAGGCGGTAAATCTGGAGCCGCTCCTCTCGAACCAGGAGAGGGATGCATTCGGGATGCTGATGCTGAGTGATGGAAAGTGATAACATGTGATACGGCATGCTAAGGAACGCTGGAACACGAGTGTCATCCAGCTCATAGCGCGCGTCGCAGCGATAGTGAGAAGTTGAATCGAACAGGTTATACAGGGGTGCGATTATTGGTGTGTAACTGACAGCAATAAAGTTACACGGAAAAATCCTCTCAATCATTGCAACCATATTGATATCATTATGACTCAAATATCAGGATCTCAGCAGGTGAACGTAGACTGAACATTCGTACTCTCATATAAGTAGTGACATATGTAACTTTACTCTGACGTGTATGTCAGTATAGCCACTAGCCCAATACTCTAGAGCACTGCCACGCGGAATAAGGATGTATGCCCAAGATGCCAAATTCAATACTCCGGTACGTCCAGCACCGAAACACCGGCACGGTCCAAGCAAGATATCTCAAGCTTTTGTAATTAAACATGCAAAACGATAATATGCGGAATAAACCACACAAAGCATACGTAAGCCATAAGAAAATGCACGTTCAGA